GGATAAATGGGATAAAAATGTGTGTGATCACAGAGCAACAACACAAGGATCATAAGGATTTTGTGAGTGTGTTTGTGAGGGTGTGTGTGTTTGTGTGTGTGTGTGAGAGCCCCAGGAATCGTTAGTGTACATGTCAGAGCTGAAGGACTAGAAGAGTCATAAAGTATACCAAGCAGACCAGACACTGATGCAGGCTTGCAGAGAGAGAGCTGAGGCGATTGTGTGTGTGTGTGTGTGTGTGTGTGTGTGTGTGTGTGTGTGTGTGTGTGTGTGTGTGTGTGTGTGTGTGTGTGTGTGTGTGTGTGTGTGTGTGTATTTTAGGCTGATTATCTGATTCGCCCTGTTTGGAACAGGAACTTTGTATTTTCCTGCCCTTAGAGGAGAGACAGTTGGAAAAACCAATCGCTGGCAGCAGCATCCTTGTTTGCTGCACTGAAGTGCATCAGCCACAATAACTCATGTTAACACTGGCGTGTCTGATCTTATAATGTACAGTACAAGTCAAAAGTTTGGACACACCTTCTCCTTCGAAGGTTATTATTTATTTCGATTTTTTTTACATTGTAGATTCATACCGAATACATCAACACTATGAAAAAACATAATATGGAATGATGTGGTAAACATAAAGGTGTTAAACAAACCAGTATATGATTTATATTTTATATTTTTCAGAGTAGCCTGCAACCTTGGGCTGCTGTGCTCAAGTTATACAAGTTATTAAAACGATCAGTTCAATGGAACTAATGTCGTCTTAGTGTTATTGCATGATGTTAAAATTGGTTTGCCATGAATTTAGTGATGGATTGTAAACATTTGAAATGTAGCTTTAAGTGTTTCTCAGTTACAAGGTTGTTGAATCAGACACTGATGGTGCAGCGCTGTACTGTACCTCTTTATGTAGGCTTTTTGTCCCTAACAAATCGTTTTTGCGCTGATCAGAGCGTACTTGGCTGAAATATTTTTTCAAAGGGGGTACATTATTGAAAAAAGTTTGAGAACCACTGTAGTAGAGGACCCCGGCTTTTATTGATTGTGATTGAAAGTGATTGAAACACTATCTTATTAATTTTTTTTTCATATTTTCAAGACATTCTTTTTAGTTTTATTGAACCTTTTTGTTTGACATCAGCCATTATAGATAATATGGCCATCTGAGTGTGTGTGGTACTGTTTGCGGTTTGTTTTGAACTGTGTAATAAAGTTAATTATTCAAAATGTTAGAGTTCCTTGTTTTTAAACTGAAACTTGCACTACTGTTCAAAATAAAAACAAACCTGGAATTATGCATTTGGGACTTTTTTTTGCTTTTTCTTGTTGTACCGAACCCGTACCAAACCGTGACCCCCAAACCGAGGTACATACCGAACCATGAATTCTGTGAACCGTTACACCCCTAATAACAAATGAATAGGCATGACTGTCTATTTCCAATCAATACAAAATACCCATTTGTCACTCCATTCAAGGCAGTTTGCCAATATGGGTTTTCCTTGGTATTAGCATCAATGCGACTTCAAAGGCACACTATGGAGACCTCTATTACCTTGTGTACACACACGCACAGACACACACCCAATTGACATAATCCCCGTTCCTGCCAATAGTTCCACATTATTTAATAATCGACAGGTGGTGCCTATATTCCAAGAAATACGGCAACACGCTGGCAAAGGCAGGAAGAAAAATTCCCCAAAAATGTTATTAGCAAAGTTTTAATGAGAAAGGAAATGCATTTGTTAGACCTCAAGGATATGCACAGTGTATTTTGGTGTGTGAACACTGTGTGTATTTATGGGTGTTTTCTTGTACACAGATGCTTAACTCAGCTCAACTTGTAGCCGCTGACTGAATCCTCCTTATGTAACTCTGTTTCATATTTCATACTCTTCTCTTCGAGCCCCTCCGCCCGGCGTTAGAGGCTTGGTAGATACAAGGCACAGAATTGTGACAGACATTTGGATACAAATGGAGGCAAGGGAGGAGGAAGAGGGTGGAAGCGACCGAGGCAGACAGCAGACATGGGAATGGGCTGAAATTACTTTATGAAATACTCAGACGTGCACAGACTATGGTCAAACTGCATTCAGAGAAACTTTTCATTGTCTCCCATGCATATCCGTGATGCCAAATTTAGATGTTACCACTCAGACACAATTATTTTAAAGGCATTTCAGCAAACTTTTCCATGACTGACTGCTTACCTAATTCGACCTGACGGCTGTTTGCCAGGTATTTGGGCGTTTTAAGTTGAACTTGTCTATGTGACGTTATGCCTGTTATCATATAAAGACACAAGCAGGAAGAGGCGTAACATTCAAACCCTCTGAGAATATTGTTCAGCTGTCATACTCATCACAGTCTGATCCCATTTGCGGGGATCAACGCCTCGGGAACATAATCTCACAATAATCTCTCTCTGTTTATAAACACAAGTATCCCAGTGTTTCAATCGCATTTATTTTGTGTAAAAAGACAGAATGGACTTGCATTTTATTTAAATGGAGCGACCCTGTCCAAATCAAAAGCAGCCCTTCTCTAAAACAGTAATATTGGCTATTTAATGCCTTTGTGTGAGATGTTCTCTCATCATTTCTTAGTCTTTATCGCCTGGGGGTTCACATTAAATCGTTTCCCCATAGCCTCACACAACAGCCAAAACACACACACACACACACACACACACACACACACACACACACACACACACACACACACACACACACACACACACACACACACACACACACACACACACACACACACACACACACACACGTACACACACACACACTACACGACA